ACATAACAATTCATCTGTCCCTTCTTCTGTAACGGGCATTTGGTGCAGTGCAGCGTTTTGCTATTAGAAGGTGTGATATGGTAAAACACTCATGTGCTGTTTTTTAAATGGTGAGCTCCCTACATGTCCATCCAACCTAGACGTCTCCCTCTACCTAGTCCTCAAGAGCAGCTCTGAAATATTCAGGGGAAGTAGATCAGCAAAGGTTTCTCTGACAAGACAGCAGCATCTCCTCTCAGAGACAGAAAAAAGCTCATGGAAATATTGCAGGTGAGTATTCTTTCAAATAGTACTGTTTTGATAAGCTAAAAATTCAGTATCTGCATATTATCTAACAATAATAGCAAACTGAAGTCCAAAAATCTTACAAGAAAGATTAAATTAGTGCCTCTGAATGTGCAAAATTCTCATCAGAGGGATGAAATTAATAAAATATAATTCATTTCTCAGTGCATACGACCAATGACTCTATAATGCCACTAAATGGTTAAGTTCAATTATTTTGGCCATTAATTTCTACTCAACAATAATTAATGATTGGGCCTGGACCTCTTTTATGACACTTTGTAGCTGTTCCTAGCAAGGAGATGTAGAAAATGGGCATGCCAGTCTCCCTGCAGTGAGTTCCAAGTCAAGGCAACACATGCTAGCTGGCCACCACGAGGCTTGCTATGGAGACCATGTCAAATGACAGTCCAGGCTGACAGCTGAAATTGAGCTGTAGATTTTTAGGTAAAGGCAAAGTTTTGGGATTACACTTGCATCAAGCCTGTAAAGAAAATTTTAATGTATTTTTTATGCTGTTGCTTTACTTAATAATTCAAAAATTATTTTTGTTTTGGTATACTCATTCTCAGAAAAAAATGTGAATTTAATTCTAGTAATATGGGTAGTACTACATAGTAATAGATACTAATTTTATACTATCCTAAAGAGATGGGGGGGAAATGCACTACCCAAATTCTCATGATTTCTAATGCTTTCTCCTCCAAAGATATTTTTAAATATGGGACTTTCAGAGATTATTTTTCTGGAGAAATTCCTCTGCTCTGTGCCAAATGGTTTTGAAATATTCATTTCTCTCTGATGATAAACTATGTGGTATTGCTTCTACTTTTAAAAACAAAGAAAAAAATGTGTTTACAGTTTCACTTTGAGGCTCTTTGGAAAGAATTCTTGTAACATTTAGTGAATAGTAAATAAGTTTTAAACAAAAGTTCCTTCAAAACTGGGAATAAGTACCAATATCCCACTTGATTCATGGGCCACCAAAGTATGAACGATCAGTTGTTCTAACTGGCAATATTTTGGTAAAGTATGAAAATGCTTCAGCTCCAGCTAATAATGTACAATGAGTGATGTGATTTGAAGCTGCAACACATCTTCCTCTGTGGTACCCTTCACACTGCTTTTAAAAACTGTCATCTTTTCCTAATACAAGAACTGGCAATACTGAATATTTCAGAGTTCTTTTACTTTCTCATAAGACATTCATGACAGTTCTTCTCCTTTAAATTTTGCTGCCACCCTATTGAGATTTCTACTTTTATTCATATTGCAATCATATACCTACCCAGGAATTTCATTCAGATACATTCCAATAGGCTGCAAATACATTTATTTTCCCTATGCCAATTGGTCTGGCTCATATCCTCTCCTTGATTAAGATTGCTCACATCAGTCAGGAATCTTTTGGTTGTAATTGATAGAAGCTGAACAAGCTAATTTAGGCAAAAGGGGATTTTAGTGGAAGGATTGGGGTGTCTTACAGCTGAATTGCTTTAAAGAAAAACGGGAGCAGCTGTGTCCTACGGACAGCTGGAAATGGGGACACAGCTGCAGCTGGGACTCACACTGTCTGCCTCAGCCTCTCTGTGCATTCCCCTCATTCCCCTTTACTGCAGATCAGATTTCCCCATGGGGGTCTGGGGGGCCCACAGCCTCCGGGTCTCTGCTAGCCCATACAGCACTTTTGTGTGCAATTAGAAAGGGTGCTCCTCTGTGTAGGGGCAGCCTCACAGTTGCATAGTTTAGTGAGCAGAAGGCACAGTTATGAAAAGAAAAGGGCATTCCCTTTTTCTTGGATGCAGCCCTCTCCCAGGGCCCAAGGTTGGGTCAGCAAAAGTAAGTGAGCACTCTTTGCCTGGGCCTCTTTGCACAGAGTACAAGCTGAACCTACTGACCCGGCATAACGTCTACTTTCTCTACTGTCTCATAGCTTTGGGACTTCTGTAGTGATGGACTCATACTTCTCTCAGATCCACTGTCAAAAATTCTGTGAATAAGCTCTGATTGGCTCAGCCAAGGTCACATAGCTACACATGACCAGTAGGCTATGGCGAGGGCCCTATAGCATTTGCAGGCCAGCCGTACAGCCTGCCGTTAGCATTGGAGCCATCCACAGAGAAGCACAGAGCTTGGTAGGGCAGGCAGCCAACTCACTGGCAATCTCTACAGAGCTTTGGATTTTTTCTTTATGGGTAACTTTCATAAACTGATGCTTATTAATCTATTGCACTGTTATCAAATATTATTGAGTAAACTGAGGAAATATTATGTTATGCAGGACAATTTAAGGAATTTCAGGTATTAATTACCCAGTGATTTAGTTTTGAATTTGGTAGGAATAAACTCAAATTTAGATATCAAGATTTCCTCGTTTATCTTACAGTTCTGATGTCTCAAAACTCCCTTTATGCTTACAAAATAGATTTGTAATGCTTTCTGCTTCACCTACAATCACTGTTTTCACAGAAATATAATATATTCAATGATGTGTTCCAAATAGAATTTTTTTAACTGTGAATTATTTTCCTCCAGTACTGAATTTTTGTTTGAAGAATATCTGGTACAAGTAACAGAATGTGTTTTCCTTGATAACACTGAGTTTCACTTCTCAGAAATAACAAGGACAAAAATCTTTAGAACTTCACCACTTGTCTTGGCAACTTTGTACTTCTGAAGGTAAATATGGTTGATATGGTCCAACACTTCACAACTCTCAACCCATGTGCAGGGTCCTAGCTTGCATTCTCTACATTTACTTCAATTCCAGATTTACTTCAGTCAGTTAGTGCTAATGGTGATTATTATGAAAACAAAATATGCAGTGAGCACCATTCTTGATTAACTAGGTATATTCTTAGAAAAATTTGAGAAAACTGAGAACACAGGCTTTTATTTTGACATAGTTTTTAAATAACTGTAGTTACCTAAGGGGTTAAGAAAATGACACCAAAATATAGTTTAATATTGAAAGAGTGTCCTCAACATCACTGATCATTAGGGAAATGCAAACCAAAACCACAGTAAGATATCATTCTACACCCATTAGAATGGCTATTATAAGACAAAACAAAATAAAAGAGAGAAAATAAGTGTGGGTGAGGACATGAGGAAATTGGAACCCAAATGGGAATGTAAAATGGTGCAGCTGTTAGGGAAAACAGTATGGCAGTTCCTAAAAATGTTAAATATAGAATTGCCATTTGTTCCAGCAATTCCACTTAGTGTCTACCAAAAAAAATTGAAAGCAGAGACTCGAAGAGATACATGCATACCCATGTTCACAGCAGCCTTATTCACAATAGCTGAAAGGTGGAAACAACCCGATCACCATAGACTGATGAATGAATAAACAAAATATGGTATATAACTACAATGAAGTATTTGGCTTTGAAAAGGAAAGAAATTCTGGCACATGCTACAACAGGAATGAACCTTGGAGATTGCCCTAAGTGAAATAAGCCAGGCTCAAGAAGACAGATACATGATTCCACCTACGTGGGTACCTAGAGCAGTTAAATTCTTAGAGATGGAAAGTGAACAGGGTGGTTGCTGGGGGAGGGGAAGAGGCAAGAGGTGGTTACTGGGCAGTAGGGAAGGTGTCAGTTTCATACGATGTAAAAAGTTCTGAAGATGGATGGTGGTGATGGTTGGAAAACGATGTGAATGTCCTTGACACCATCATACTTTAAATATGATTAAAGTGGTAATTTTATGTACATTTCATCACAACAATAAAAAGAAGACTAAGTGTCAACATCAACAAATAGATTTGTTCAGGCAACCCCAGCTAGGTGGGAATAATGCTATTGGGGTATCATCATTTGAATTATAACAAAGTGCTCGTAGTTTAACTTTTTCTTTGTAACTCAGTGAGAAGTGGATTATGTTAAAACTACAACAGAACTCAATTTACATAGCTGATATATGATGGCTACAACTTTTTTTCTTCCCTTTGGGAATTTGGAAAGAGGCATATTCCTTCCCCACAGCACCGCCAGCCGCTCCCCAAGTTCACCTTCTCTGGGGAATCTGCTCAGTCACTCCCAGGGCTTAGCCTTCAGCCTCTCTATTGATGACTCCCAAATCTGGTGCTCCATCTCAGAACTGCCTGCTGAGTATCTCCACTCAGAGGTCACTTCATAGGAGCACAGAGACCTCAAAGCTACTTTGCTCCTGGGAATTTTTAGTTTCTATCTCCTCAAATCTCAGAAGTTGCTTCTCTTTGAAATACTCTAGACCCTTGAGACCTAAGGCTCTGGCCTCTGAACCTGGAGGGATTCAGCAACATTTTCAGCACAGGCTCCAAGGAGCCACAGCTAGTGATCAATTTTAGCACAAGAGATAAAAACTATTTACCTTCCACTAAGTTCAGAGATGCCCCCAATAGCTGGCCTAAAGTCACTATAGAGTAAGAGAAAGGGCTGAAATAGGGAGAGAGCACTTCAGATGTGGCAAGTGGGTTGATTGGACTAAATGGGGTAGTTGAACCCTGGAAGGCTATTGCAGAGGACAAAGTCCAGCATATATTTAGGCAAAGATTTTGTCCCAAACTGAAAGTCAGTGATTCCCAAAGGCATCCCCTTAGGGAGCCCTTGGAACCCCTATGATGGAGGAGGGGGCCTGAAGGTCTTGGTTTCCCATTTCCTTTCAGTTTGCTTAGTACCCAGTCACTTGTGTCTTTAAGTTTCTCTTTCTCTTCCTAAAAAGGAGCCAACATTGTCAGTCTGCTTTCCTCAACAAACAGCTTACGTGTAATTAAAAGGGATTACACTTGGAAGGGGGAAACCAGCCTTTAATCCCCTGAGAAGGACACAGCAGCCTGAGCTGGAGGTGATCTGAGCAGCCTTTCTGTGCACTGCTGTCCGTACCTCGACAGAGGCTCCTATGATCATCTGCTCGTGTGGTGGGCTCCAGCATGGGCTTCTTGAGACAGATCCAGCTTTTGCTCTGGAAGAATTGGACCCTGAGAAAAAGGCAAAAGGTAACAGGTGCATTCTGTGGTCTCAAAGTGAGCTTGGAAGGAGGACAGGGTGGAAGACTGGCTGTGGGGAAGAAGAGAACAGATTTGTTCCAAGCATTGAATCTGGATCAGTTCAGGGAGGTGGAACAGGGTTTTCCTGGGCACTGGAAGAATATGAGGGAAGAAAGGGGGGCCTGCTGCAGAACATCTGAAGACCTGCGATTCAGTGTCCCAGTCACGGTGCAGTCAGAGAGGATCTAACGGGCTAGGGCATTAGCTAAGGGCAAAGCTGGTAACTGATCAGGTAAAACAGACTCCAGGGTATCACGGAGGTAGCAATTGCACGACACAGCTACCACCCCCAGAGCTGAGGAAACCAAGGAGAGAAAGTGGAATTAAGACCTGGAAACACAGAGGAGATGTCCGTGGAGCTGAAACTCGGGCCCAGGAGGGCAGGTGCACTAAAGCTGCTGCGGGGTCCCTGAACCTGGCCTCTGGCCCAGTCTCATGAGGAGGGAGCCCTGGCTGGTGGGTGGGTTTGGAGCTGAGGGACAATAGCACAAACCAGCACAAAAGGACACAATCTGTTGTGTGCGTGGATGGTCTTTCAGCTGTGTGTGGCTTGGACGGGACTTAGGGAGGCTGGACACAGAGCTGAGTGAGGATCCCCTCAGACATGGGGCACAGTCCTTAGGCTGCTTTCCTTTGATTAGCTGGTTGGATTTTTAAATTAGTGTTGAAGTTACTTGCCCTCAGGAGCCAAGTGCTAGCAGTAGAGACTCAATCCCTTTGCTCCAGAGCTTTCCTTCTAGAATGAAAATACATAAAACTTAAATAGGACACATTATTAAATTCATTCATTTACTAATTTATTCCTTCAATCAACAACTATTAATAATCACTAAGTACCGTGACAGGTGCTAGGTACAAAATGCAAACAGGACAATCTCGGTCACTGATGACATGATGTTTTTAGTCAGGAATGGGGAGGAAAATCTAGTATGTGACTGTTCTGTCACTCACTCTCTTTCCCATAAGAAATTAAGATTCTTGATTTTATTCTCAATGTGCTTTTCATTGTCCTCAAAAAAATATACCTAAGGGCAGTAGCTACTGGCCTGAAATGATTTCGTTCCTGTGGCCAGCATGTTGCCATTAGAGGGAATAACCTTATTTTCAAAGATGGGGTTTGTCTCACTGGCCCTCACAGTCTCCACTTCCTTTCCCTGGTGTTGGTGGCTGTCCTCTGTTGGGGACTTGGGGGGCTTCTAAGGGGAACACACTGTCAGCCCTCTGTGGTGAGATGGGGCCCTGCAGGCTGAGCACCGTGGCTGGGGACCCTTCCAAGGTGTATGCAGTCTGGGCTGACATTCGTTTGATGCCATTCCAATGGCCTGGGAATTGATCTCTGTCTGGTGCACCTCCAGCCAGCCTCCCCACAACTACCACATTCTGGGGATTTCCAGCATGCTAAGTGTGAGGGAGGCAGGCCCCACAGTCCCCAGTCACTCTGGGAGGGGGCTGGGTCTCCTTCCATAAGCTTTTGGTCCTTCTGGAAGCTTCTGTCTCCTCAAGATGGTGACTCTAAGGAGGAAAAGTACAACACACTTAGCCCATAACACAGCTCCTAGGTTTTAAATTCCTCAAACTTCCATGGTTTGGGGTGTTTACTACTGTGAGCAAGAGCAAAAACAGATACCAGAATTCCCCATTTCTTCTCTCCCAATCCCTAAAGGCATAAGATGAAAATCTTCAGATCTCTATGTTCCTCCCTCCCTTTTTTCTTCCTCTGTTAACATTTATTAAGTGTTACTAAGTGCCTGCCACTGTACTGCACCTCATTTAACCCTCACCTCAGTTCCATGGTAGGTATTACTGTTTTCCCCATGAGTCCAGATGAGGTCATCAAGTCTCCAGGAAAGGTTGCTGACTGGTAGGGCTGGACCTGGGGCTCCAGGACAGGCAGACACGGCTGTTGCCCCATACTGTCCCCCTGTATCAAGCTCTATCTAATAGGCTGGTCGTGGAGACCACAGAAATAAGGGGGCCATCTGATTTATCATCCAGACCAAGGCAGTTTTGAAAGGGAAAGAGACACTATTTAACAATCGCAGCCGGACAAGAAATGTAAACTAGTACTGGACCTGGCAAACTGAGCTGTATGGTCGCCCTGTATCTCCCATACAGCTGGGTGAGTCGGCCACAGGCCCGTCCTTATGGACTGTGGGGTACGGGGGGCCTGTGCCCGCACACACTTACTGACCCAACATTATGTGCAACAATGAGCAAAAGGAAGCACCTGGTGGGGGTGAAGTTGCACTGTGGGCACTCAGAAGAGAAAAGGGGTGGAGAGGATGAGAGAGGACTTCCCGAGGAGTTCATCCTTAGAAAGTGCATGTCCAAAGGCAGGAGCTCTGTCCGCTGCACAGGACAAATGCACGTTGCTGCAGGCCAGGCGCCATGTTGGGGCGGGTTTGTAGAGACCATTAGGTGTGTCTCTTGTCCCCAGAGCTCATACTCTAGGGCCCCTTGGTGTCATCAGCTGGCCCCAGCTTCCAGGTGAGGACAGGCTATTTGGGAAGGCCTGAGGGCTCCTGGGAGTAGGGGGCCTATCATTTCCTGGGCCGCAGACCCAGGCACCTGGTACAGCTGCCCCCTTCCGTCCTGGGCCAGCATCAGGCAAGGAGAACCTGGCAGGTGCAGGGAACCTGAACAGCCTGCTGCAAGTGTCCCCAGGTCTTGAGTCATATTAGTCCAGCCACAGAATCCCGTCTGGGTTCTCAGAGCAGAAGGGAGAGTCATGCAGATGACTTCCAGCCTTGGCTTCCCGCTTTTAAATTGGAAACAGAGTGGGGGGAAGAGAATCTAACCGGCAAAGATTTAAAGCAAGCACACCTCTGCCCTTCCCTGGGACCCCTCCTCCCCCACATAGACTGAGTGGTAAAGAGGCAGAGGAGGGGAAGCAAAAAAAAAAGACAGAGAACAAGGAAATTCCAGTTTGGGGGAAAAAAAAGAAAAATTTCCACCGGCCCCTTCTGAGCCTGGGCTGGGGTTAATTAAAGTTACAGACATGTATAAAAGGAAGGGGCGGGGGGGTCAGAGCCACCCTGACAACATGTTTTTAATTACACTGTGGAATTTCTCCCTGGGGTATGCCTGCTCACACTGGAGCATCAAGAACAAGGGTGCCCCTCTGGAGTGGGGTTGCCGAGCCAGCTCTGGGGAAGGGAGAGGAGGTGGTTGGGAGGATTGGCCCAGCTGGAAAAGAAAAGAGTCGCAGGTGGTCTCTGTGCGGGCAAGAGTGCGAAATGCAGCCCCTCCAAAGCAAATGCTTGCTGAGCTTCAACAGTAACGCTGACCTCTCAACAAGTGTTTGTCAAAGATTGCCAGCCAGTGGTTCTCAGTCCTGGCTGCACACTGGAATTACCTGAGAAGTGTAATTTAAAAAACAAACAAACCCCAAAACCCAAACTGATGCCCCATCCCCAAAGGCACTGGCCAAACTGACGCGCCAGGCCTGGGCTCCACCCAATGCCAGCATGCGGCCCCTGGGGACCGCAGACTTTGGTTAGTGAGGGTGATCCATTGAGGGGCAGGGATTATGAGCAGAAAACAGAAGCCCTGACTCAGAGAAATGGTGAAGCGGAGCACCACAGGCCAGGCAAAGAATGAAGGAGGAAAGGAAAATTCTCAGCTGGCCTCCCACTGAGGGCGGGCTTTTATTCCAGTGCCCTGCAAAAACCGGCACTTCACCAATACGCAGATGAGTGAGTGAGTAGATGAGAGGGTGGGCAGCTAGTACTGCAGAGATGGGTGACATGCACCAGCTTGGCTTTGGAAATTTATCCACGGACAGTAGGCCAGCCCCTCCCCCTTGGTCCAAACCTCTCTAATGGATGGAGAATGTGACAGTGTGTGATTAGTTTCTTAGGAAGCCCTGTCCTTCCAAACTGGCAAATAAGCAGTTCTGATTCAAAGAAGGGAGGGAACATGAATGTGAGTGGAGGGCAGGCCTAAGAGCTTGCAGATGATTTTAATTACATCTCCTTACTCATGAACCTTTACAACGTGTGTCCCCTACAGTGTCCCTGTGATCTTTGTGAGTACAGAGGGTCATTAATAAATGGCTCATTGTTCAATGTTCCTTGTGCCGGATTCTGCTTTAGATGTCTTACATGGTTGATTCACTTCAATCTCACAACTGCTCTGAGAGGTGGGTCCTGGTATCAGCCCCCATATTACAAATGAGCCCCTGAGGCATGGAGATTAAACAGGTTACCCAGGATCATACAGCCACTAGGGAGCAGGGTTGGATAAGAGCCTCAGTATTGACACTTAACCCTCAGTGTACAGTGTACACAAATTAGTCCCATTTCACAGATGAGAAGACCGAAACTCAGCAATTGAGCAAGCTCCAAAGTCATTCTTCACCCAGATCATCTTATTCTCAAACCAGCATTGGTGTGAAACATACCAGACTACTCCCAGATAGACATTGCTACATGGAAGGAGGCTGATTTACTTGGCAGAAAGCCACGGTTGCCAATAATTGTCTTAAGGGTCAAATGTGTAGAATCTTGACTGGTTGCCTCATTTCCTTGGTGAAGACACCGGGAACAATTTCTGGTTTCATTGTTTGCATCTCTCACTCCCATTGCTATCTTGCCGGACTTGCTCCCCGACTTACTCACTGATGGCAGAACCTAGGATGGAAGGTGTGAAGCCAGCCATCCAGTCCATGCCCCTAGGGGTGCCATTTGTTCAGTCTGCAAACTGCTAGTGGCCTAAGCTTCTGGGTCACCTGGGCTTTCCCCAAGGAGCCTCCTAGACCAGTCTTGACAGTTATTGGGCACCTATTATGAGTCTGGCCCTGTGTTGGGTGCCAGAATCACAGTAGTGATGAGGGCGTGCTCTCTGCCCCCAGGGAGGGTACGTCCAGAGAGGGACCCATTTCCATGAAGGAGTACCACCCTGATCTATGGTGCTGATGTGACGGCGAAGTGCAGGCTGCTGTGGGAACATCAGTGCTGGTCTAGGCAGGGTGAGGTGTTAGTGAGATGGGGTCACTGGGGGAGAGGCTCAGCCCCTCCTCCCTCGGTCAGCAGGCCCTGGGGGAACTGCCAACATTCCAGCAGCTGTCAAGTGTGCTTGGGGTCATTTCCTTTAACATTGGAAGGGAAGCATCCAATACTGGTGTTTTTCTGTCTCGTGGGAGAATGTGTAGGGGGAACCCTGAAAAGTGAGTGCCTTCAGGAAAATCTACTATTCTTTCTTCTGGCCACAATATATGACTGTTGTCTTTGCCACATTCTCCATAGATGTATTTTGAATAAAATATATCATAAAAAGTTACAACTACTTACTCACCACCTGCCCTAAACATTTTTTGCTTTTTCTTCAATGCATTATCTTTTCCCTCCAATGACTTACAGTATAATTTGTAATAGTTTGGTTGCCAATAGACCTTACTAGCAGGAAAGAAACAAAATTTATTGAGTACCTGCTAGGGTATCCCCCATTTTGCTGAGCGTACATTTCTTTGGAAGGAACAGCAAAGGGTTAAATTAAAAACCATGAGAATGGCCCTTAGCTGATGTATCCACACTAAAGTCTCTATTCTTAGCCATCTGCTTAAGTTCTCTTTCAGATCTTCTGTGTTTCCTTCCTAAGGTCTCTGGAGGGGGGTTGCATAGAAAAAGTATTACCTTCCCTGATTCACATTCCCTTCTCTCCCTCTCCTCCCACATAACCCCACACCTCCAACCCCACCCTCATGTGTATTCATCAGCATGGGCTGCAATAGCCAACTGGTTCTTCCTGTGGAGTCAAGAGTCCTTCAACTCTAAAATGAACCTAAATTTAAATGCCAACTTTCAACTGTATGTTGGTATCATCAGCCTCTTCCAATATTATAAAAACCCACAGCAGTATATGCCCTGCTTTGTTTCTTTGTTAAAGAAAAAAATGTCAGAAAATCCAGATTTCTGTTGACTTTGCAGTGGATCACAGAGCCATTTGCTCATTCATTCATCCAGGGACCACATATGCAAGGTCTGATGTGCACTGGGAGGCAGGACAACACAGAGGGGCAGAAGGAACACTGGCCCTGGAGACATGAGGCTGGGCTTTGGCACCAGCACCGTCACTGCTGTGGTGACACTGCTTGGGTCGCCTGCCTTCCCTGGGTCTCTGTGTCCTCATCCACAGACTGAGAGGTCACAATGAGATCTTCACTACCTGTGACACCAGCATCATCTGGGAGCTTGTTAGGCCCAGGAAATAGGGTGGGACCCTACAGAATCAGAACCCACATTCACATGCACAGTGACAGCCACCAAGCACTAAGGCAGATATTTTGATCCTTGATAAAAGTCCTGTGCTGATGCAACTTCAGAAAAATAGAACCACAGTAGAACCCAGATGGACACACAATCCTGTTAGTCTGATACATCAGGGCAGAGGCAATGTGGGACAAGGGATGAAAGAAGAACATCCTTTAGGAAACAGGCCACAGCCAAGCCTGTTGGCTAAACTGCTGCTGATGTGTGTGCGCTCTGGCTCTGCTTCCTATGATCTCCCAGCATCACTGATCTTCCTCTTCTTTTGTTTTGCTTTTCCAGATTCGCCTTGTGGTAGAACTCGTATGGCCTTTATCTTTATTTCTGATCTTGATCTGGTTAAGGAATGTCAACCCACTCTACAGGCAACATGAATGTAAGCATGATGGGGGAGCCTTGGAAACACCAAGGTCCAATCCTTTCATTTAGAACAGTCTTGGGGGTTGGGGTGCCAGGGTCAGATCTGCTTATCATCATTTTATGCCTACAGTGCAGAAAATAAAGACTCATCAGCATTACACAAACTAAGTTTTTAATCCTACATGTTCTTCGCAAATACTTGTATGTGGTTACTGAAAAATTTGTGATTATTTTTCGTTTGTTTTTATTGGTTCTTTTTTTCTATACCAAAAGTCTTACTAGTTTTAAAGGATGCAGATTATAGATGAATTTTCTGAAATTGTTTGGAGACCAATTTAGGGATATGTTTGTTCTATATAGTGCTGGAGAAAAACAAAAAAGTTTTCTGTACAATTATGCCTAATAGAATATTATTTCTTACATCCCAGAGGGGTCCTGGGACCTGAGTCCCTTTTTCATACTATGTCCCTTCTAGGAAAGCCTTTCTCTGGTTTCTGGCCAGGGTGATATCTTCTCCCTCTAGCAAGCTGATGAGGAGACCTCAATAAAAATGCAAAGCTGCTCATTAACTCATGCTCCTCACCTTCTCATTCATGAGTTTTAAGCCTCTTCCCCCTTACCCCCTCCCTACTTCTGTCCATGAGTCTATTAGAACATCTGTCTGTCTCCGCACTACACTGGGAGTTTGAGAGAAGAGACCCTGTCCCTGGCACCCAGTGCAGGGCCTGGTATATATTATGCTTCCTGTTTCTTAAATGTTGATGCATAAAAGAAAGCACCAGTGGGGCCAGAATCCTCCCTGCAGGGGCCCAGGCAACTAGGGCCTGCATCCTGCTTGGTCTCAATAACTGACTCCTTGTCTTCATTTCCTGTCTTAAAGGCCATTTTCCCAACAAGGCGATGCCCTCAGCAGGAATGTTGCCATGGCTCCAGGGGATTTTCTGCAATGTGAACAATCCTTGTTTTCAAAATCCCACCCCAGGAGAATCGCCAGGAATTGTGTCAAACTATAACAACTCCATGTAAGTGTTGAGATTCCTACCATACAGAGAGGCAGTTGTACACCCCTTCATTCTGCGCCTGTGTGGGAGCGCACACATGTGCACTCACAGAGCACGTAGTGCTGAATGTTTCTGTGGCCTGTTGAGCCCTTAAGCTGTTAGCAGCAGGGCATGTCTCCTCTCTGGAGCATTCTGTTAGGGCACTTGGGGAGAAAGTTTCAAAATAAGGCTACCTGACATAACATTTTGGTCTTTATATTCCCAAGATGTGACCTAGAGCACAAGGGCAGCACCCTGCTGAGATGTGCCTCCTGCCTCCAGGTCACCCCTCTGCTTGGTGGCATCATCAGATGAGAAAAACTCAGGTCTCTTCTGTTCCCTTACATCACTTTAGCCCCCATAAACCCTGCAGAGGTCTGTTCCTTTAAAAGCCTTCTTGTACATCCAGAACCTAAAAAAAAAAGTCAGAGGACCTTGTGAGGGTGAAGGAAATCAGGATTATAAAGTGAAGTTTGCTCCTTGCAAGAAAAGACAAATTTCAGATCCTCTGTTGTAAGTGCCATAATTTCCCTTCAACTGCAAGATCTTAGACTATAACTCGAAAGCAGTGGTTCTTAACCTGCAGGGCTGAATGAAGACTATGCCAAGAAGCTGATGAAAACTGATGGCCCCTCTCCCAAGAAAAATAGACACACACATACAACACTACATTGTGCCTGTGATTTCAGGGGACTTGTGACTGCAGGTTAATGACCTCTGATATAGGGGCAAATTTCAAGTAAAATCCCACAGGAAGCCAGCCTACCTTCAGAATTCCCTTTCAGAGCAGGAAGTAGAAGTACACGAGGTGAGCGTGTTCTATTGACAGAGACTCAGTGGTATGGACAGGGTCACCCTTCACCCCCGGGCTGACCTTGGGCTAGAGATTGTGGAATCTGCACTGGAGGGTCACTAACAAGGGCCTGTTAAGGAACAATTCCAACAACTTGGATAAACACCAGGTCAGATGGAAACTGATATTTGGTTACTCCAGTTTTTTCCTCAGAGGAGCTCTGGATCTAATTCCTCTCAGACAAACCTGCATTTCAACTCAGCCTAATACTAAGTCAGCCTGATGCTCAGAGGCTGGGAATGAATTGTGGACACATTTGCCCTATAGCGGCAGCGTTGAGCGGTTATGGCCAAGACTGTGTGCCCCACAAGCCTGTTTCCTGACCCCTGGATTAGAGGAAGATAGAAAAGGGAACACCTCACTTCCCAGGAAAGCTAGGGAGGCAACATTTTAGCTGGGCTCACATGGCTGCAAATGCTGCCTGGAAAGTAATTTACAGTCTGCAGTTTCAGCTGGGTCTCCTTCAGGCTCCTGAGAAGAAACAGCTGCCCATCTGGAGAGGGATCCCACACGGCCACACAGTGGAGGCTAGATGGGGCCTCGGTGGGACTGCAGGTGATGTCTATAGATTGAGGGGCGGGAGTTGGGGAAGGATGGCTTCAGACTCCGGCTACATTTGGCATTCAAGCCAGGGAACCTGGGTTTCACACACACACATTATGGGTGAGATATTGGCTTATTCAAGGTTCTTTTCCTTGCAAGGTGCAGAAACCCATTCAAACAAGCTTAAGCCCCAGAAGGAAATGTCTCATTTGGGCACTAGACCCTCTGGCAAAGCTAAGGCAGCCAGGTAGACCTCAAGAGGGGAAGAACAAGAACTGGAGAGCTGTCAGGAGCTGCTCTTTCCCACTTGGGCCTGCAGGGTCAGCCTCCTTGTCTACGGACCTCCAAGGTCAGCATCTACTCCATCCGCTCTCTCCGTGGACCAGTGTCCTTTGCATCTCAAAGTCCAGGCCAGTTCCCAGCAACTTGGCTTGGACAATTGGAAGAGCATTCTTGAATATCATTCAGATTCCTGGATACAAATCTGGTCCAGCTTCACGCTTCTTGTCCACTCTTCTTGTCAGCCATGGCAGAGGGGTGCATGTGTATGCATGCAGGTGCAGGGAAGAAGTGGTGGATTAAGTATGGCTGTCAGAACTTATTATGAATGGTAGAAGGGCAGGTCTCAGAGAAATGGGCAATGGCTCAGAAGAACCTCCAGTAATGTCCATTAGTATCACCTCTATGGATAAAATGAGAGTTCCTGTGGCTAGGTTTCTCACCTGGCCCTGGTTGACTAGCTCATTGCACACCTGTGGGCAATGCATTGCTGTTGACTCTATATAAAAGAGCTCCGCCCAGTGCTCTGGGCATGACACAGTGGCACGGCTGCAAGGCTGCAGGAGAGCAGAGGCTGGAGTGGTGGCAGTGCTGAGGACAGAGGCCTAGAGGATGACTGTGTAGGACGACCGTGCAGAGAGGCCCAGAGGATGGCTGTGTGGGACAGTTGTGCAGGCACAGAGGCCCGGCGGATGGTTGTGCAGCCAGAGAGGCCCAGAGGCAGAGACCGGCTTGCTGCATACAGACTTGCTCTGAGTGAACAGGATTTTAGTGACTGACCTGGCACTTGTAAATAAAGTTGGGTACAACCCTTACACCTCAGGAATGTTTTGCTGTCAATTTCTTTGGTCACATTGAAGCCATAGCGAACTTGCCCGGGACTGAAACTCATTGACAAGACAACCTTGTTCACAATTTCTCTGGACAGGAGACAAACAGAACATAGGGTTAAGAGGTGACCCAGCCCTGCCAAACTAGAAGACTGAACAAGTTGCTCACTACCCCTATGTGTTAATCCTATATGTACAAAGAAGTAAAATATCTCTTTCTCCCTTGATCTTTGCAGTGTTGTTAAGGATACATAGTGTGGCAGCTGGGTAAAGCACATGGTATGTTTAAAAAATAGCACTAGGTGTTATTATGAAAATGACAGCAGTATCTTTATTGATGAAACTTTGTCTTTCTTACAGTTTGGCGAGGGTCTATCGAGATTTTCAAGAACTCCTCATGGATGCACCAGAGAGCCAACCCCTTGGCCATGTTTGGACAGACCTCCAGACCTTGTCCCAACTCATCAACACCTTCCGGACTCACCCTGAGAGAATCGCAGGTAAGATGGGTCTCAGTGTTCTCAGCCATCACTTGCCTGGCATTTGCCACATCCATTAGAAAGACTGAAGTCACAGGAAAGAGTGGGGAGATTTGGTGGGAAAAGAAGCTAGAGGAGGCATGAGACCCACCTTGGTAAGGACTCCCTTCCCTCCAGCCTAGAGAGTAGGAAGTTGGGAAGGAGGACAGGGAGATTTCTCATCCCAGGTAAGTCCAGAGACAGAAAAGAAAATGCCGAGAGAGATCATGTGCTGGAAAGTTTGAGGCTAAGTGCTGGAAGCAGAAGGAGAGTACGGGAAAGACATGGAGCAGCTTTCTGAGAGCCCTGGAGAGTGGGCTAGCAGGAGCGTGCGGGAGCAACAGGGCCACGGAGGCCAGGTAGCATGTCTGTCATGACACAGACATGTACAAGCATCCTGTTTCTTCCAGGCCCTGAGGCAGAGCAGGTTCAGAGTGGGGTGATGCAGGGCGGAGTCTCACAGGCAGGTGCCCCAGAAGGTCCAGGAGGCAGGCCGGGTGAGGGTGGTGGTGGAGTCCATGTATCAGGTCTAGGCTGCATAGGTGAGAAGCGGGTGAAATGGGTAGGCGGTGGGGGCAGGGGGACCGAGAGGTAATTCCCTTGCCTCAGGGGGGTTCTCTGACCTTGTTTTTGTACTGAGGAATGAGCAGGATGGAAGGATTGATGGCTGTTTTCAGAAAGCAAGATATTCCACTTTAGGATCAAAGGCAGGCAAGATGGGCAGGCGAGAGGAGCCCCTAGGTGTGGCCATGGTGGCTGAAGCAGAGCAGAGGTGAAGGTTTAAGTGATGGGGAAGTGAAGGAAATGAGAGGCCAGGCTGATGGGTCACACATGGGCACTGAGGGTACTCAGGAAGGTGGCAGGAGCTAGGCCAGGACTCTGGCATGGTGAGGGGGCAGGATACAGGAGCTCCCTCTCCTGTGCCTCTCTCCTCCCTGGGGAAAAGCAAGGAGCCCACAAGCCCAAGCCCAGCAACCACACTGACAGCTCTGTTGGAAGCTCAAGTCGATGTCGTGTCATGTTCACAGCAGGCTCCTCTGCAGACGGCCAGGGTGTGGCGGAGGCCTGGGCACCGGCTGAAACCCACCCCCAGGGAGGGCAAATAAGCAGCTGGGAGGGAACAAAACATGCCAGGAACCCAGAAGTTACTGCAGTCCCGGGTGAAGAAAGGCTGCCTGTTGGGGAAAGGTTGTTCCGGAGGTGGGGCTCAGGGTGTCAGGAAGGCATTTGGAGCTGCTGGATACATCCTATGCTCCTAGGAGGGGAATGGGGGGGTGACCCTCAGATGACCTCAGAGGATGACAGGGACGAGGAAGGGGTCTACCAAGGGGATAGGAGGGGCTGGATGGAACTGTTCGTACTCAGGGTTCCAAACAAGAAAAGAGAGAGAATTGTAGAGATCAGCCCCAGGAGCTCCTCACCCATGTGGCTCCCTCAGCCAGGAGCCAGGCAGTGTGCTAGTTCCTGGGGAATGGGGAGGTGGGGCAGAGCAGGTACCCACCCTGAGGACTCCCAGAGTGGAAAGTGGAGGACTGAGGGAACAATGACCCTACTGCAGGGGGTGGGCAGTGGAGGGAAGCCCAGGGAGCTGAGAGCATGGGGAGTCAGCAGGGGAGAGCTCCCCAAGGGGAATGTGATCCTCTCCCCCATCTGGCCACCTTCGCCATCTCTCCCCATTGGAGCAACAAAGGACAGGAGTTAGTTTCAGATGGTACATTAGGATTGCTTCACTACATTCTAGTTCTTTCAGAAATAGAACGCACATACTCTAGTAATTTTCTATAGACCAGATTATGAACATTACCTTCTTTTCTGCTCTTGAAGGAAGTTTACTTAGCTCAAGCTTGCAGGACTTTGTAAGGTATGAGCACAATCAGCATTTTAATGGAAAGCAAAGAGTCAGGCAGGCATCATCCAGAAAGCATTTTTCTCCCAAGTTTAAGGAAGCAGATAAGAACAAGAGCTTCCAAGTCCCGGAGTGACTGTTTATCCCATTCATCCAGTAGAATCGGGGATGAGGCAGACATTTCACTTTGGTGTCTGACTTCATATGGAGTCCGGCTGGAAGGAAGTGTAAAGGAAGTCATCTCAAACCACAGTTTCTCTGTGGTCTTGACAGTGTGTATATGAGAACTCAAATCACTACTTCCTAACCCAATACAAGACTAGTTTTGAACTGCCATACAGATGGTTCCTTCTGCGGGCCTTCAGGCTGTGGGGGAAAATCCTCTAGATGAGAACAGCTTTGAAGGTCTGGGGAGACCAGGTCAGGGAGGCCCGCCAAGGCTCCTGCAGGGGTTTTGACCCCTGGGAACAGAGCCTCTGCAGAACCCTTGGCGTTGGTGGCCTTGAGAGGAGACTGGGAACCCTCCAAGAGTAAAGGGACAGAGTCTCTGAAGGAGGCCCAGGCTGGGGCCTGATGCCTGCCACCAGCACTGTGGACTCTTTCCGAGTCTGTCCAGGGCCTCCCGGTGAGCACCTTGCTCACTGTGAACATCGACTCGTCCCAGAGCCTCCGTGGAGCATTAGAGCTCTGGAAGCTGGCGGCTGTCGCTGGCGTGCGCTTTGCCTGCCAGGCCCCAGTCACCTGGGAAAGTATGCTGCCAGCTGACCCTGTCCTAGCAAACCTGTAGTACTGCATTCTCAGCAGGGGAGGGTTAATGGTAAAACACCAGACGGGAAGCCCCCTCCCCTCCCACCTGCAAGCAAGCTCTGTGGTCTCTCAATCATCATTAAACACTTGGTTCCCAGGAGCCTCTCGCATTCTCCCTCCCGGCTTCTCCCCGCACCCTGCAACTCAGCTCCCATCAGCTCTGTGGGCCTCGGCAGCCCCTCCCCCAACCTCTCATCTTCCCAGGGAAGAGAACAAGACAAACCACATTTTAAACTAAATTTACTTTTCTTTCCTCAGGCCCTGTGTTCACATTTCTCCCTTGGGAGTCCAGGGGAGCTTCTGTCTGGTGTCGGTCACCTCTTACACATTAGGCCCCCATCCCTGCTCAGCATGTGGGGCCAGCACTCTCCTGCCCCTCGCCCTAGGGCCATGGCCACCTGGACCCCAGGCAGGGTGGAAATCACTCCAGTCTCCCTTGCTCTGTCCCTCTCCCCAGCAGGATACCTGCCTGTAAGGTCAGGTGAGTGAGTTAAAGAATAACCAAGAGATAAACAGTCAAATGGGGTCCTGACTCTCAGGTCAAGACAACAGGTATTTATTGGGTGCCTCCTGTCATTCCACACACATTTATCGAGGCCCTGCTTCCATATCAGGCTCTAAAGCTGGGTGTCAGAGAGAGGTGACTTCAAGGGCTTAGGCTGTGTGCCCAGCCTCACCAGGTATGCTGAAGGGTATAACAACAGTCTCCGCAACCTACTCTCAAGAGACTGCATGTGGGTGTTGAGGGTGGTGTCCCCTGAGGCCAGCATGTACACCATAATGCTGTTTATAAAAAGTGGGAAGAACAACTGAGCTGGCGCCTGGGGGAAGGAAGAAAGGAAGCCGGGTTGGAAGGTGGCAGGACTTAGGTTATCAAAGAGGAAGGCAGGCAAGAGTAAACTAAAGCAGCCTGTTCAGCCCTCTCCTCCTCTGGGCCCCCTCCTGCATTCGGCTTCCCTAAAGCCTTCAGGCTTTTCCTCTACAAATGGTAGTAATTTTGCCCCCCAAGTGGCACAGCTCTAGAAAGGCACTGTGAACTGGAACCTCAGGATGGTGGCCCCTACCCTAGCAGTGTGGCCTGTGACCTGTCCCCTTTTAAAAGGAAATTAGCACCAGGATCAATCTGGACAAGACCTTGTGCGGGGAAAGCCATCATCTGAAACTGAAGGGATGGCAGTCAAGCTCTCAGCGGGTAGGCCTCTTGGTTGCCCTGGTGAGGGAAGAATTTGGGGAGGGAGAGGATGGTGTTAGGGCCAGGAAAGAGCAGGGGTGGTTAAAGTTAAAGAAGAACTGAGATAAGCAGTCAGCCAGGCTCCCAGGAGAGTTGAGATGTAGAGATACGCATTTTCATGAACTGTGGCCATAGCCAGCTTGAGGCTGAGTGTTGGTCCTGGTAGCAGGCAGAAGAGATGGGTGGCCTGGGTGTGAATCCCTAGGGAGGTGTCAGAATATGAACACCATCAGAACAAGCATTTATTGAGTGCTCACCATTGTCAGGCCTGGAAGCTAACCACTTAGCATTCTTTATCCAGAGTCACTCCCTCAATAACCATGTGATGTCGATACGGAAAGTGCAGACACAGAGAGGTTCAGTCACTTGCTCCAAGGTCACCTGAACTCTTAGGAGTCCTTTATGCCTCCTTATGAAGAAATGTCTGTTTCTAGCATGTTCTAAGAGGAGCTAGAGAGAATGTGGCTGGGACTGATCAGGGTATGAAATGGTATCCCCTCGCCCACTGGGAACTTTCCTTGCCCCAAACATTCATCACCTCTCTTAAGTCAGTACCTGAGCTGAGAGCCTTAGCTGAGCTGACAGAGCACCAAGAAGGGTCCTCTACCCCACGACAGCGGCAGTGTGGACACAGCACGCTTCTTGACTAGGGTTTTCCATCCTTTGTATTATTGACATTCACGACCAGATAGTTCTGTGCTTTGGGGGAGATACTGGGGCGCGATTGTCCTGTGCATTGTGTGGATGTTTAGCAGCACCCCTGGCCTCCACCTAGTAGCACTTCCACAATTATTACCACCAAAAATGTCTCCAGACATTGCCAGATCTTTCCAGGGGAGACAAAATTACCCTGCTCTGGTCCCTCACCCCCTCTCAGTTGAGAGCCAGTCCCAGCCCAACCCCACAGGGCATCTACCATGCCATCTGCTGCCCCAAGTACACTTTTCCCCCCTTATGTGCCATCCCCCAGACTTTCACCCAGCTGCTTCGACATGGCACCAGTATGTGACTGTCAGTGACAGCAGGAGCCTCAGCCTCCAGGCACTACCAGGGAACCTGAGAACAGAACCTTCTTCTGAGAGTTGTTTAGACATGTTTCCAATCAATTCTAGACGTTCTCCCTTTTTTGAGCCTTTTCCCCTTCAACACCCTGTTCTTTGATATATAGGAAGAGGAATACGAATTCGGGACATTCTAAAAGATGAAGAAACACTGACCCTATTTCTCATGAAAAACATTGGCTTGTCTGACTCAGTTGTCCACCTTCTGATCAACTCCCAAGTCCGTCCAGAACAGGTGGGTGGATGTCCCTGGTCAGTGGTCCCGTGGGGGGCGGGGGAGCCCTGAGCCTGAGCAAGGCAAGGGAGACCTTGTATTTTCTCCCTTTTTGCTTTCACATTCAGAATCCACAATTACTGCCACATATTCGGAAAGATACCTGGGGGTCAGTTGAGATGATGAGGATTCCCATTCCAGGATTCTGAAGTGGTGAAATCCTGGCAACACTTCAGACATCTCAGATTTTTATAACTGGAAGGAACCTTGAGATCACAACCTCTAATCCTCTTAGAATTGAGGAAACTGAGGTTTGCTCATGTGTGTATCAAATATCTGGGAACACTTTAGGTGCTAGTGTCCACACTGTACAATATAGTCAAGCCTCTGACTCCAGGAGCCTACATTCCAGTGGGGGCCCAGGTGGTAATCAACTAGACAAAGGATGCCAGGTGAGTCAGGTGCTGTGAGGAACACCTAGCAGCGGCAGGTGTTAGAGGGGGCTGGGGGCGTGGGATGAGATGGTCAGGGAGATGGTATTTGAGCATACCTGACTGAGACAAGGCAGCCTGGACAGGAGCACTCTGGGCCAAGAACCTGGCAGTGCACAGTGGGTGTGCTAAGGTAACCTCTCCAGGTCACAGAACCTGATACAGTGGCACGTAAAGCAGGCCTCTGATTTCTGAACCATTTTCTTCTCAGTGCCAGGCACAGCCCTCTTCCATCCCCCTTGCACATTGTGACCTATTCCCCCCACCCCAAATCTATTTCATCCGTTTTCATACGCTCCTATATTTACTCAGTGTTTTTACCACTATCACGTGACTTTCACATCTGTCAGCTCCTGCGGTCCTCACATTGATCCTGGCATGGCTCACACAGATGGGGAAACTGAGGCATCTGGTGATGAAGTGATTTGCACACAACTATAGGATACAAAATTGTCAGAGCTGGAGTGGAATCCAGGTCTTCTCAGTCCTAATTCAGTATTCCTTATGCTAGCTTGTTCAGTGGTTCTCAGAGTCCAAGACCTGTAGCACAGCCAGGACTGGGAGATTGTTAGGAATGCAAATTCTCACTCTGCACTCCACACTGACCAGAGGTCTGTGTTTTAACAAGCCCTCCAGGTGATTCTGACAGGCTCAGGGGTGAAAAACCCCACTCTAGTGTGGGGCCTCCCAGGCTCCTGGCCCAGCGTCCTGGGTGTGTGGGTTCTGAGCATGATGCATACTCTGAGAATGCAAGATACGCAGCACAGATAGCACAGATGCCCCTCCCACCTCTCCCTGGCCAGGCGGCACCTCCTCCAGACTCCAGGGGAGGCCAGCACAGACAGAATTTCAGGGCCTGTGTCAGTGCTGAGATAAAGGTCTATGCAGGGTGCCATCTGAGCCCGGAGGAGGGTGGGGGGCCCCAACCAGGGGCCAGCCTGGTTGGGGCTGGCTCTGTTGAAAGGGAGTTCTTAAGCTGCTTCTCTGCACAAACAGTGAAGAAGCCCATACCTGCTTTTCTGGCTTCTCAGACCCTGAGGTTCTCACCAAAACTAGGCAAGAGGAACTGAGACTCAATCCTGGGGCCGTGTGTCAGGCCCTTGGAGCAAAGCATGTGCAGTGTGCAGGCCTCAGTTGCAGGGGCTCCCAGCAGGGCCTTTAAAAGTCTGCGTTCCCCCAACCCCAGCTCACGGCCGGTGGGGGCAGGAGCATGGATTACTCATTTTCCCCTTTGCTTTTTCCTCTGCTCATAAAATCCAAGTCCTGGAAATGCCTGTGATGACTTCCAGTTGGTAATAAAAGGCAGATAAGGGCAGGAATTTAGGGGAAATTTCTTTCCATTTCCTCACTGACCTGACATTGGGTATCTAGTTGCTGTACTCCTAGTGTCAGTGCTAAGGCCTTTAGTGGGGAGAGAAGGAGGGGCCGGGTCACCGGCTTGGGCCTTTATTTGGCACTGCTGGCTGTGGTTAGATGATGCTTCCCTGATCAGCAAACTGCCAGAGCTAAGAGGGAGCTCAGAGCACTTTGGCTTTACAGGGGCGGTCCTGCTGACCTGGCTCTCTGCATCTCCGTGCCCACCCTGTTCTCAGCCTGGTGCCTTGGGCGCCTGTCTCCTGGTCTCTACCTCTGTCTTCCTCCAGCTCTGCAACCCCTTAGTAGCACTGTCTACTAGAACTTTCCTCTCTGATGGCAGTGTTCTCTCTGTGACATCCAGTATGGTAGCCAGTAGCCACAAGTGGCTGGTAGGCCCTTGAGATGGCGCTAGTGCTGCCGAGGAACTGAATTTTAAATGTTACTTAATTTTACTTTAAATAGTCACAGGTGGCTTACAGCTCTCTAAATGATCATCCTCATCAGACGTGGAGTTCTGTTTTACCATCAGTATTGGATACCCGTCCTGACCCTTTCTGCTTGGTATCTGAGCATCTCTATCTCCATCTAAGGAATTATTAGACAGTGAGAGTGGTATAGTTCTCTGGCCTGTCACTCACCTCATCCTCTGTCCCCAACCAGTAAACTCCTGGACTTGCTTGAAGCCCCAGCCCAAATTTTGCCTCCTCGGTGAAATCTTTCATAAACCCTCCTTTCTTTGTCCTGCCCCTCCCTCTTCCCTACCAGATAAAGAGCTAACTAGCAGTGGTTAAGCACAAGCTCTGAGTTCAAATCTCAGCAAGGCCACACAGTTAACTCACCACCCTGCAAGTTAACTACTCATTGCCTCTGTTTTCTCATCTGTAAAATGGAGATTATGAATGTGCCCTTCACATTGTTGTGGTTAAAAAAAGAACACATATACAGCACTTAGTGCCTGGCACACAGGAAAACAATAAGTACTAGCTGTTTTTACTAGCTATTCTTGACACTCCATTTTCATGCTCTGGTGTCACTATATTCGGTCTAGCTCTTTAAATGCCTGCCTTTCCAGCTAGCTGGTGAATTCCTTGGGAAGCAGAAAATTCACCTTATTCTCTCTGTATCCCCAGGACCTGTCCTAGTCCCTGCAGAATGGGAGCTCAGTGGATGGGCATGGAATGAATGACTGACTGAGTGAAAGAGTGAGCCAGGACCTTCACAGTGCCCCAGCTTTCCCACTAGCTTGCTATGGAACCTTCTCAAGTCACCAAACCCCTCCTCCATCACTTTTCTACCCTGGAATATTATAGGCTTGGACAAAATGAGCTCATTGATTCCATCCACTTTAAAATGTTTCAGCCTCTGGAATTAGAAATGGGGATGGGATGCTGCCTCGGCATAATAAGCAAAGTGTGGGAGAAATAGGAAGGCTCTGTTGGAGCATGCACTCAGTTACAGTCTCCTGTGATGGATAGCACTCACGCCAACCCAGCAGACAGCCTCGACCTGTGCCTCACTGAGGGGCCAGGCTTCCGTATGTGGTCTGGACACTCTCCATGCAGCTGGGTAGCAGAGCCTGGGCCTGCTCTGCAGTCCAGCCCAGAGGACTGGCTAATTGGAAGCTCTGGGGAAACTGTGGAGGCCAGGGAAGCTCCTGAACCTGTTGGTAGTACTCGGGATCTTGTCCACAGCTGGGAGGCCAGGACTCTAGGAGGCCAGTTACTCTGTTGGGTGGCCAAAGGTACCTGGCTGGGGTTGAGGACACTCTAGCCTCTGGAGGTTGTCATGGGATTATGCTTCAAGAGTCACTGTCCATGGGCTCCACAGCAGCTGGAGGGTGTGGCTTTGCCAGTCATGGGAGTTGTCAAATAAAATACAGGTGCCTATTTTAATTTGAATTTCAGATAAACAGCAAATGCTTTTTAGGCATATATCCCATTTGGATGCTCTTTGGGACATGCTTGCACTAAAGCTTGTTCATTGTTCATCTGAAATTCAAATTTAATGGGGCATCTAATATTTTTAGCTATATCTGGTGAGAAAAGACATAGGGGATTGGTCATCTGCCATTACCCCAAATGCATTCTAACCCCTCCCCATTCCAGCTCCAGGGGGTGGATCCTGATTGTACCTTGGCATCAAATGCTAAGAGGGTCTCCCAAATCATAAATGGTTCTCTGATGAAATAAGTCTTGGGAGTATTAACTGCCTGTTGCTACTGTAAGAAATTACACAAACTTCATAACTTAAAACACATATTTTTTATCTTATGGTTCTAGAAGTCAGAAGTCTGAAAGTCAAGGCATTGGCAGGAGCATGTTCATTGAAGGAAATCCATTTTCCAGTTTCCAGAGAGTGTCACATGCCTAGGCTGGCTGTTTCTCTGCCTTCCTCTTCCATATTCAAAGCACCTTTGTGATTACATCGGGCCTACCCAGTAATCCAAAATATTTTACCTTGAAGTCAGCTGATTAGCAACCTTAACTTCATCCGCAATCTCAGTTCCGCTTTCCATGCAACATAATGTATTCACAGGTTCTGCAGGTTAAGACAGGGACATCTTTGGGGGGCTGGTATTCTCTTGTCACAGGGAGGTTTTCAGTGTTGCTTCTCCCTCTGCAGTTTGCTCATGGAGTCCCAGATCTGTTGCTGAAAGACATTGCCTGCAGTGAGGCCCTCCTAGAGCGCTTTGTAATCTTCAGCCAGCGCCGCGGAGCACAGGCAGTGCGTGAGGCCATATGCTCCCTCTCCCAGGGCACCCTACAGTGGATGGAAGACACTCTGTATGCCAATGTGGACTTCCTGAAGCTCTTCCGGGTGGTAAGTGAGTTTGGAGCTACTCGTTTCTGGGAAGGTAATTCCTGGGGGCAGCAGAGCCTGGTAGTAGGCCATCGGGAACTCATAAACTGACAGTTGAGGAGGGCGTGAGTCTGGTGTTCAAGACAGTCCCTGAGGAAACTCCAGGTTCCAAAGACCCAAGGAATCTTGACTGGTAGTCATCCTAGAGCACGTGGGGGTCACTATATAGTTTGCCATTAGGTACGTGTTGTGATAAATCTTCTCCAACACCTCTGGCAGCATGGAAAGGAGGAGGTCTTGTCGAAGTCCCTGCCCTACCATTTCCTAGGTGCTCATGGGCAAGATAGTTGACTTCCTGAACCCTTTGCTCAGCTCTGTAACAAATAAATATTTTATAAAGTGATAAGATACATGAAAAAAATTAATAAATTTTGATAAATGAGAGCTTTATGCTCCCTCCTTTAGGTCTGTTCTTGACCCCAAAGATTGCTGTTTCTGGGTTTAAAAAAAAAAAAAGAGCCTAGAATTATTATTTTTATAGCCGGTAGAAAAATAATAGTCTCAAAAATCTGGCAAGTCCTGATCCTCCACTCTGTGTTCCAGAACTGTACTGAGGCACACTGCTTGGAACTTGATAAGGTCTCCTCTTTTGCCAGAAGAATAAAATGAGCGGGAATTACATAAAGGGAGGTGTAGAGCAGTGGTTCTCATACTTCAGTGTAAGAAAATTATCAGGAAAGCTGGGAAAAAAATGCAAATTCCAATCCCCACAGACTACTTCAGGAGATCTGGGCTGGGCCAGGATCTGGCGTTGTCTTAGGTGATTCCAATGAAGGTCATTTAGAGGCCAGGCTTTAAGAAACACTCAAAATAATCCTTCAAAGAAGGTGACATAATGTTTCCAGCATTTAATTGGGCTTATTCTTGTGCCTACATTCTCATTTCCAGAGCTGTGTTGTGGGGTGTATTAGTTGCTGAGGATTTGGTTGAGGAATTTGTGTCTTGCCTTTCTATGATTGCTCTTTCAAATCCAGAACACCTACTCTCAGCTTGTCTTAAAAAGCAAGCTGAAGACTTTTTAATATGAAGCAAAATAAAACAAGACCCCACAGTTTTGAGTTCACACATTATCCCTTTCAAAATGTGACTTCCCCTAGAATGTTACTCTGCAGTGCGCCCCGCTCACTGGGTGGGCCTCCAGAGTGGTGAAAGGGGTTGGGACCTGTGGATGTGCCAGAGATCCCAGGACCCCAGAAAAGATCTCTCAGCTCCCGACACTGCAGGGAAAATAAAAAGCCATGTGGCTCAAAATTCTCTGTCCAAAGATCCAAGAGGAACCCAGTACTGCACTCATTCCCTGGTGTGTTTTCAGAATCAGACAGAAGAATAAGGTTGTAAAGATCCCTATTCTGCGCAGCTGCACAGCCACACAGCGAGGAGACCAGTAACCTGTGTTTGGAGGGATGCAGGAGCTTTCCCGGGCAGCCAGGATCAGCAATCTCGGCACTAGGAAAGGGGCAGGTCATGCATTTCTTTTTGAAGCACTTTGACCACTGGTATAGAAAAATGTACCTTCAGGGCCTGGCCAGCAATTCTAGGAGGATAGTTGTGGATGTAGCAGAAATAAAGGGGCACCTGGGCAAATCTTTTCTTTAGAGACTGGACCATGGCTTCAGGATGTTTATTTATCAGACAAGAAAGACCAGAAAGTCTTTCCTTCTGCCTTTACATGTTGCTTGGGCAACTGCTAGAGTTCAGAAACCAGAGACCTTTGGCCGGGCTTTCTCAGTGACCTGAGCCAGGTCTGTATGCTTGCTCCCCACCTCTGTCTGTGTGTCTGTGCACTCAACCCTGACCTGGGTGCCTGCGAGAGGCAGGCACTGTGCGCAAGCCAAGCTCCAACCGTGAGCCCTCTTTGAACTCTCAGCCCTGAGACAAGCAAACAGGCCAGGTCGCAGCAGCATGGCTTACGGATATGAACAGCAAGATCACTGGGCCTTGAGCAGTGGCTCCCAGCCTGGCTTTGTATCAAACCATCTGGGGAGCTTTTAAAAACTAGGAATGCCTACCTCCCCACCCCCAGAGATTCTAATTCAGTTGGCCTTTAGTATTTTTTAAACCTTCCAGATCATTCCTATGTCCAGCCTAGGTTGATAATCACTGACCTAGAAAGGAGCTTGATTTACATTCTCAATTTCTGTAGACCAAACATAATATGATAGTACCCCAAATACCTCTAAGGCTTTAAGGCACTTTCATTTGATCACTGGTAAGTCCAGGCTGCTGTGGAAACACATCCCCTCGGCTGTTCTCTTCACAAACCAGGGAGTGGCCCCCCAGAGACCACCTAGAGGAGAAAACCCTGGCAGGAGCTGGGCTTGAGGACTACTCCTACCCCTGCTCATCACTGGAGAAAGACCTGGCCAACGCAAGACACATGGGTCCCAAGCAAAGAAGCAAACACCCTGTCCAGTGCCCTTAAAATGTGCTTTTCCATTTGACAAGTGGCAAAGTGGCTAAACATTAAAAAAAATTACTAATAAGAAGACCTAAATGAAATTGTAGGCATTATGATGAATTTTTGCTTTTACTGCTCCCTTACCCATCCTATCAGTGTTTTTAGAAAAACAGTCCTGAGGCAGCACAGGACAGTTCAGGCCAGACCCTCTGTCTGCCCCTTGGCGGGGGGTGCATGGCGAGGCAGGGCTGCCTGGAGCTGAGGGGCGGGGGCCTTTCTCTGGGAGGAGGCTGTTATTGCAGCTGGTTGGCGAGCAGCCATGCTTAACTCCAGTGTGGGGAATGCTGTGCCCTCTGTTCTCCGGGGTTGCTTCTCATACTCACGTACACCAGCGTAAAACTAAGATTTTATTAAATGCCAAGTCAATGCTCATTAACAAAGAAAGAGGGGCAATGTCAGTAAACCACTGTGACGGCACCTGCCCCTGTTGTGTAAGGAGCTGGGGCTGTGGGTGGGGCGGGAGTGTGACCTCCAGACCCAGGAATTCGTGCCGCTGAGACAAGCAGAGAGGGGCTGTAGGGGGTCAGCGCCAACTGGGTCCAGCTGTGTTTTTTCTCAGCCCCTTGGAAATTAGAAGGGAGTGTTGTCATCCTCAAATAATACAAACGCATTACCCACAGCCTTACTCCACACCACCCATCCCCTTATGTATCCTCACACAAACTCAGGTACAAGTTCACGTGTGCACGCACTCATGCAGAGGGGGCCCAGGGGCCTGGGTGGGCTGGGAAGGAAACAAGCAGTCAGGTAGTTCACTCTCTTTTTTTTTATTATTTCTTTTTTCTATTTGATTTTTTAATAATGAAGCATAGTTGACATACATACAATATTAGTTCCAGGGGTACAACATAGTATTTCGCCATTTATATACATCAAGAGATGCTCGCCATGATAAATGTAGTCACCTTTGTCACCATGCAAGTCATTATAGCATCAGTGACAGGATTCCTCACGCTGTACTTCTCATTCCTGCGATTTGTTTTTTACCTGCAAGTGTGTACCCCGTGATCCCCTTCACCTATTTGCCCATCCCCCACCTGCCTCCCCTCTGGCAACCACTTCTTTCTCTGTATTTGTGGGTCTGTTTGTTCATTTGTTTTGTTTTTTAGATTCCACATGTAAGTGAAATCACATGGTATTTGTCTAGCGGCCTGGGCCCCCGTTGGCCTCCCCGTGGCTGAGATAGCCTGAAAGAGTCTGGCTTCACCTGTGGTCTTTTTGGGCTCCACGCCCCCAGCTTGAAGCCGAGCAGCTCAAAGTGGGGCCCCAGCGTCCTGACTGCCAACTGTACCTGAAATGTTTCACACCTCATAAAAAATGGTGTGTCAGTTTCATGTTGGGACGTTTTCCCATCTGATTTGGCCCAAGGCATGCGTGCCCCTCCTTCTCCTCCCTCTCTGATCCTTCCTGTTTTCTCTCCGACTCTGGTGCTCAGCTTTGAAATCTTGCTGAGAAGCAAATCTGTCCCTTCTGCTCTACGTGTTTATTTGTGGAAGTTCGGCAGGGGAACTGAAGCGGATGCCAGGGCCTGCCACACTGCTGGGAAATCTGTTCCCCTCCCTCCCCCATTCTCAATGGACGCTGATAGAGGAAACCTGGCCTCCCCGGCATTGGGCCCACGGTTTTCCCCTTTGCAGTCGCTTCCAGTGTGGCGTGATTCAGCTTTCTTTACTTCCCCTCAGCCACTACTCTGTAGCCGCCTTTACTTTTCTGCCTTCATTTCACCCGCATCTCTCACTACAGGATGGCTGACCATTGAGTTCCAGGGGAAAAAAGACCCAGTCCTGGCGGTCCAGACTACATACTCCTTGCAGTGTCCTGCTGTGTCCTTGGCTCTGCTCCCTAAATTCCTGGACCGCCTGGTATACATATGGGTGGACTGCTCACTGTCCAGTGTAAGCTGGCCATGGTTTCTGCTCTTGGGATCATTCACTGCAGTTTGTTAAATTCCAACTGTGTTTCAATTTTCAGATGATGTTGCTGCATTGAAATCTGGAAAGCCCCATGTCTCCAGGATTTTACAGTGAGATTCCATTAATGACGTAACTTCATCATTTTTCTCTCCCTTCCGATCCTGGCTCACTGGGCTACCAGCTTTCTCCCCCTGTGCGTGAGGGTCTGGGGAGGGAAGAAGAGAGAGGACTGGCAAAGCGCGCCTGCAGAGCAGGGGTGGCAGCATGGCTATTAGGGGAAAACAAAACCAAGTCAGAAAATAGGTTTTTGAGGGTTTTTTTTTTTGAGAATTTTTAAGCCATAGCAAGCAGATTTGATGTACATCATTAATATCTGTTCTGCCTACATCTACAAAATTTTGTGTCTATTAGAATCAAAATCTCCCCTGGATGTACATTAAATGTACGTTAGGCCTAAGAACTTGATCATCATTGGCCTGGCCTTGATTTCTTTTAGGCTCCAGGCATACAATAGGCCAGAGCTTATTTTCATGACATATCAGACATTGTTTTTATGAATTTAAAAAGAAAAAATATACGGAGAGATGAAA